GGCCTTTGTTTCTTCTTCCTCCTCGTCGACAACATCAACTTTATCTTGTTCCAATGTCTGTGATTGGTCAAATACTTGAGATTGATCTATTACTTGAGATTCGCCAAAATTTTGGGATTGTTGAGGTTGACTGAGTAATAGATACAACTCAATATAGTCGAACTCAGAGTGTTCATGGCTTTCAAACATGCTTTGAAAATCTTCATCGTCTCGTACCTTGTGCTGAAAATACTTGACCTTAAAAGAATGGGATTTTTATATATAATTTGAGAGATTGGACAGGACATTATCTTTGACTCTATTTTCTCTTTGAAAGACAAGAAATTTGATTTCCTGCTTATTGTAAAATGGGTAACATCGGTATTTTGAAACCCGAATTCGGAAATATCAGAGACGTATGTCTCACCATTAATATGAGCATGAAAAATATAATTTGTTGTTCTAGACAATTTTTAGTGTAGTTAAATATTGTGTAGATAATGGTTACCCTCTCCAATGTTATCTGATTAATATAAGTCATGGAGAATAAAAAATTATTTTTACTCTTAAAAGGGTCGTCAATAGCTAGGCAACCCCTCCTTAAAATTGTACTAGGACGCCAATGTGAGGGCAGTCCCCTCCTTAAAACATAGACTAAGGCGCCAATGTAAGGGCATCCCCCATCTAAAAATGTAATATGGCGCCAATGTGAAGGCAACCACCCTTTAATGTGTCATAAAAAAAATCTTAGAGCTTTGCATGCACTAAATTTAATTATTTTTCTTCAATGTCATCAAGGTATCCCAACTATACTTCTTCAATGTCATCAATGTAACATTTATTTTGATCATCTACCTCATACTATTATTTACTATAAATACATGTTGCCTTCCATTCATATACTCATTAACAAATACCTTTCCTACTCCAACTTGATATAATCACATTCCTACTTGGTGAAGAAAAATGGTTCTTTTAACAATGGGAGAAAAACATAGAGAAACACTGAACAATATTGCGTCTTATGTAAGTATAATATTTCATTAGGTTGTATCTTACTATTTTTTTTCATTATGTTGTATCTTACTATTTTTTTCTTAGAACCCTCACAATTTTCGAACTCGTGTCCATAATTATTATGAACATAACGAGTTCATTGAATCTTATTTGGTGCACGCCGAATTTGGAGACCTCATAAAGTTCAAAAGTTATTCGGTTGATACAAAGTTTATTCTAACTCTTCAAGAAAGGTGGCGACTCGAGACGCATACATTTCATCTTTCAATAGGTTAATGTATTGTTATCCTTTAAGACACATACATGTTGTTGGGTTTAACAATTAACGGTAAGGCGGTAAATAGTCCCACCAATATTGACGCTAGTGTTGGAGAATAAATTTTAGGGGTAACCTTGACTCCTAGAGAAGTGAGGGGTCAAAAACTTAAATTAGCATGGCTCAAAAGAAATTATAGTGCAATAAGATTAACCGAAGATTCTCCTGAAAAGGAGAAAATAATAAAAACTAGATTTTATATCATGTTACTAATAGGTTTATTTTATGTCCGAATGCAAGTGGTAACGCTATTCATATTATGTATTTACCTTTATTAGAGGATATAGATAAATTAAAAACATATAGTTGGAGGTCTGCCACGTTATCGTACCTCTATAGATCTTTGTGTAATAATGCAAAAGCAAATTATTCTACTTTTACTGGATGTGTTGTTCTTCTTCAAGCTTGAGGTGATCGAGAATGACCAATCTAGCGCCTATCAATCACAATAATTACGTATTTCCATACGCAACAAAGTAATTCTACACCAAATATGTAATACAAAAGATATCCTCTTACTTAACTTATACTATTAACAACAAATAATTTATATTCAGTTTGTAGGTGTCAACACTTGGGATGAATTACGACAATTGTCCCCGTTACAACATCACCTAATACTGAAACCTTTTGGATCATTTGGATTAAAATGATGTATTGTCACTAACCTACCTATTTAAAATAGAGTTATCTTTACTATTAACATATGCTAAACTTATATTTTTTCTGCTAGAGTTTATTTGTTGACCATATCTCGAGTTAGAAGGCATGCATGAAGTGAATATATAAGACGTTGCGGTGTGGAGTGCAAAGGTACTGATTATTGCGTTCACTACAGTGGAGATGCATCACAGTGATCGTGTGAAACTACAATTTGGTATGCTATAGGATATTCCAAGTCCACCAAGATGTTTCTCCAAATACCACAAAAGAAAAGTCTCAGACCAATTGGACTACCCGATTAGACGCACTATGCAAGAGCTGAGTGTCGTGAATGGAAGCATCGTCGTTTTCTTGTCCTGACCAACACGGTACTGCCATTCGAGTCTAAACCATCTATCTAATACATGAATTGGTATAGATCGGTTACCATTGGTTTCTTTTCTCATCCAAGATATTTGGTTGGCCCATGCCAACAAGATTCATCATCACGTACCCAACCCCCAACCTAACAAACCATTTACACTCAAAATCAGCAACCCATGTCACTCACACAACCACAATACCATAAACATACCCCATACAAATTCCCCCATCCCAACAAAGTTTTTTTCAGTCCCAATACCAACAAACTCAACCACCTTACCAATCATACTCCTACAATAATACATAACAAATTAACGTGGAGTATCAAACACCACATCAAACCTTACTCACCCAAACATTTACACCAATGTCACCTTTCAACCAACTCAGCTACCGTCCTAACATAGCCTCATCAACCCAACTACCTCAACAAAACTATGAAGATATGGACAACTCTTTTAATCTGAACGACTTTACTGATTTAACCTCGTCTTTATGGGCCCAAATACACGAGTTTCTTGAATCCGAACCAACACAATCATCGACGATGATTTCCTATAAAACACCTTATGTGGACTCGACACCACCACCACAAAGAGTATCAAGAGACATACAGTCTCGAGGGTGCGGTACCAGCAGATATTTATTTCGACTCAGTCGTAGAAATTAATGTACAATGTTAATCAAATTATTATTATATAAAATTATTTATTAATTATACATTATTATATAATATATTATTTATTAAATATTAAATAAAAAAATCATTTAAGAGATGACTCTAGAGCTATTAACGCCCCCTCTTAAATTTAAAAATGACTCTAGGACTATTGGTGCCCCCACTTTAACTTTTAAAGAGGACTTCTATATTATCGCCCCCCTCTTTAAATATTTTTTTTGAAATATGGATATTTTAGGATATATGATAGAAACATGAGTATTGGATAATATTGTTCAAAAACATCATTATATGGGTAAAAAATTTCATAAATATAAATCCAGAAGTTCAATAAAATCTCACCTAGAGAAGATAAAGGAAACTTAATAGGAATAAAATAATTGTAAAAAGAATGTGAGAGAATGGTTTAGTTAAGAAAAAACCGGAGAAGATACTTGGTTTTATTATTATATAATAAAATTCGTTATACGGTTACAACAACATTCTGAATTCAATTCTGATTCTGATAGAGAAACAACATTAGACTTTGTGGCTCTCTGCCCACTGCTCTGCAATCCCACCACACCACCATTCTCTTTTTTTTCTCTCTCTTAATCTTTCTCTCTCTATAATCTCTCTACTCTACTCTCTAGAGAGAATAGAATTTTAGCATCCCAACGTGAGGCTACACTCTCCTATAGATACACAGACCATTTTCTGTTTACCTTGTTTGAAACACCAAAAATATTACATTCTGCCCCTTGTTTTCTACTATTTCAATGTTTCTTCTTCTCCAAACCCAACATTAAAACTTTTTACCTTTCCAACTATTTTCATCCTCACATCCCATCCCCTATACAGAATCTCGTTTCTCTCCATCGTTCACTTACTTATATTATTACTAGTTTTGAAACTTTTCTTCTCTCATTGAGGAAATTTCTCCAAGGTTATTACTTTCTTTCTTTTTTGGCTAAGTTTCATACTTTACTAAAATGGGTTTGTTGGAGAAGTTGGAATGGGCAAATGCTTATGGAAAGAAGCATTACAGAAGCTTCTTTTGGAGGATGAGGGCTGCAGTGAAGAGGACTTTGAAGAATGGTAAAAAACAGAGGCTCAAGTTTCAATATGATCCTTCAAGTTATGCACTTAACTTTGATGATGGAGGTTCTCGTTCTCATCTTACAGATACCACGGTGAAGAAATTCATTGCAGAAGAATCACAAGTTCATGAGTTTAAAGACATTGATAACACAATCTGGGTTTATGTCATTTGGGTCAAGACTAAGTAATTTATTTTTTTATCATGTTTGGTAATTTTATGCTCTTTGTATGTTTCTAGTTTAGTAATGGGTAAGAAAAACAATGGCACTTTTTTATTTTCGAGGATCTTGTTCTCATCCCTTGTGTTACAGTACTATACAATACATCCTCTACTTCTGCCACGAGTTACAAGTACAGCACTTAATTGTTTACATTCTTTTATTATTATGTTTTAAGCAAGCTCACGAGTTTAAATGGTATGATATGTAACTAACTGCTAAATAAAATTTAGTCACACTGGAGAAAAGTGAAAACAGGACCATTGTTCTTCACCTTTGCCAGAGAATTGTTTTTCATTAATGAGGCAGAGTAGAGAAGTGAAGAGAATTCTGAGGCATAACGGTCCCTGGCAAAAGAAAATAAATGTTTGTCATATTTGGGCTATCTTCTGCAGTCATGAGAAACATTTTTATATTTTCATATATTCAACAGATATTTTCATATATCCAACAGATTACCGTAACAAAGTAACTTGAAAGGAAAAAAATTGAATAAACGACTGTATTTTACAATCTTTTTGTACAACAGTATAAAACCACTGGAACAGCTATCTAGGAGAAAACGAACATCACATTTTATCGAACATCCTTCAACTTAAAGAAATACAATTTTTAACAACAATGGCAACAATCACTTCATCTAGAACCTAAAATCTCCACATTCAAATTGAAATGTCACAAGCTTTTAAGCAGGATCTTCTAAGACAGCCGTGGATATATCATTTATGCGAGGAAACAAAGCTTTCTCGCCCAGCTGGTTTTGGGCCCATATCAACATCTTCAACAAGCTTGGAAGTTTTGGGTCTGGTGGAAGAAAATAAGTCAATATCAGCAAATTCTAAAGCATTGAATTATCGATTTGCCAAAAAATAGCAGAGTAAATTGGAGTTTTGCAATAAGTTTAGAAACAATCCATAGACCCTTAACACAACACAGGAGGACAGAATATCATAACAAACAATTTACAAACAAGTGCAGAGAATGGCTAGTTCGGAAAATCCACAGTTAAGACTGAAAGAAATAAAAAATCGAAGTTTTAACAGGCTATCAGCAGTAACCCAAGTAATACTTCAATATACATAATTAAATCAACAGAAATTAACAATCGAAGCCTAACTGCAATAACCCAAGTAATACTTCAAACTCAATTCTTCATCTCAGCTTGTTATCATCTGTGTATATACACTTCAATATCCAAGTTAAGCATCAATAAAATGGTTTGTCATATCAAAAAATAAAATAAAATAAAATGATCAAATGCATCTTCAAATCAAGAGGATTCCAATCACAATTTGGTTGCAGGAGTTGAACACCACAAAGAAAAATATTACAAGATGTGGGACATATATAAACATAACTCGACATGCAAAGGAAATCATCTAAACTGCTAGTACTAGAGTTAGACAAATGGTGAAGGGTTTTGGCCGTTTGCATCAAGTCATCGGATGTTTAAAACTTATTGCCATCATGGTATAGCCAAAAATGTATATAGGATAACTGGCTACAAATATGATCGATCCTAGCATATGAATAATAATAAGTCCTCTCAGCATTCCTTGGAATCTAGATTTATTAACGCATGCAAATACTTCAGAAAGTTAATCACTTACAAGCACTACAAGTTTTAATCTATCTGAGGCATAAACCGTCACAATGTACATTAACAGAATAGTGGTTACCAAATTGGGGTGAATCTGGCAACGCATCTATACATGTTAAAAAAACAGATTTTTAAAACAAACCAAACACATACCTTTTTCATGACTCTGGCTTGTAAGTATAGCTGCATTCACCTCACTTGCTGTTTTTAGACGCTGTGATATGTCAAGAAGCTCTCCAACAGGACAGTTTGAGAAGTCTTCAAAGGCAAGCAGTGCAACAGTCCTCTCCAATTCTTCCAAAAAGCTTTGCTGGAAATTAGATATAAAGCACTGTGTTAGCACCAAGTCTGTGCCACAAATTGAAATTGGATAAAAAAAAACGTTCCAATTTTAATTTTTCCTGATTACAGGCTACCAAAGCAACTTATCACCAAAACTGTTAATAAGCCCCGTTAGTAATAACAGAAATAATTCACTAATACAGGTATAACATGACAATAAAGACATGTAAAAATTCATTGTAAGAGTTTACATTTTCCTCTCCCCTTGGTGCAAGCTCCTCCTGTGCAAACTCTAAAGCTTCGTCTACTTTTCCATTCCGGATTAGTTCTATCAGCCGCTGCTGCTGAAGATGGAAAAATAATTGGGGGTTTGTGTCCAGTATCTGCAGACAGTATTATAAAACAGGTGTTAATTTTATAGAAGAGATGAATAAGGCAAAGATCAATGAATGCTCTGATGTGTACAAAATGTTTTGTATGGATTCTGCACGTATTAAGAATAAGGAGGGAGTCATCACCAAGAAATTCATGAAAAATGGAAAATGAGATTTCCACACAATTTTTCATTACAAAAACAAATCTTTGAAGATACAAAATCGACCCAAGAAAACAAACTATTGAGTAAAAATCTATGTAGCACCGACACCTCTGAAAAAAGGCATGTATGTGTCCGTGTTGGTATCGGACACCTGCACCGACACTAGTGATTACGTTCAATTTATTCATTTTTTCAAATTATTGTCTCTTTCGTCGTGTCAGTGTCGGGGTTGTGTTTGGGGTGTCCGTGCTTCATAGGTAAAAATATAAGAAACAATAAGAAAACAACAGCTTTGAAGCACAATGAAATGATAATACTTAAGATCAAAGCATTTGCTCAAATTTAAAACACTGCATTTATGCAAGTTATATCCCCTTTTGTCAAGATATCACATCAACCAGAGATATGTTGGAGTAGTTCAAATAAAGCACGAGCAATCCTCACCCATAAGAGTTAGCTTAAGGGGTAGAGATGAGTCTAGAGAAGCCTGAGATAGTATCAGAGCATGTCCTAGTTGTTGTGGAGCCATCCACATTTGCCCATACCACAAAAATCTAATATTGGGCTTGAAAGGGATGTGCTTAGATCCCTTTTCAACTAGAGATAGTATTATACAATTAAGGATAGCAAGATAACCATGTAAAAAAAATTTCTGCCTAAATTCTGATTAAAATAATTATTACATGCACCAGCTAGAAAGGGTGTGTTGAGATCCCGCATAAATCTATGGCAAGATTACTTTGGCACATATGAGCATGAGATAGCAAGATAACCAATTAAATGAGGTGGTGTCATGTTCTATTAAAATTCTGCATCAATTTGATCATAGTCATAGACAACATTTGCATTAAAAAAAATTGACCACATTCATGAACAATGTGTATTATGGAGATTGCTGACAAAAAATAATGAAGACTGATATACATACTACATAGAATAGAAAGTGAAAAATTGCGGTTATAACGAAATTGGGGGGAGTAAGAATTCTATAAAGCATCTGGAAGAATGGAATTCATTTCCATATCAAAAAGAAATGGACAAAGCTCACCTCGGGATTTAAGTCATTGACTTTCTCAATTGCATCTTCAACGTTACCACTTTGTACCGCCTTCTTAACAGCCATCCGATCAGTGATTGTAGCAAGTTCAATGTCAGCTAAAGATCAATAAGGACAAGCATAAATTGATTAAACAAAAATGATTCCACCCTCTCCCAAAAGAATAATAAAAATTGAAAATAAGAAAGAAAAAAAAGGATACGCTCAGTTCCAGACTCCTTGCGGAATTTCTCAGCAGCTTCCACGAAACCCTCAGTGACAAGGAAATTCATTACCAACTTATTCATGTCTTCTTTCCTAACCTTGACATTATTCAGCTTCCTCTCCCACTCTTCCCTTGGAATCACTTTCTTTGATGCCGCCTTTACACATGTATTTTAAAGACAAAAATCATCAGTTTACCATCATTTCCATGACACGCTCAGAAATCAGAATCACTAGATTTCCATCACCCAGGATGCACCATTGACTATAACCAATCATATATAGCAATACTTCCAACGAAAAGACCCTTTGAACATCAGAACTATTAACCAAACACAATTGCATATCTTCACTTTCTAGAAATTAATACACAAATTCAAGATCCTTATCAAAACCTCTTTAAAACATCATAACTCTTAACCAAACACAAATTCAAGAACCTTATCTAAACCTCTTTACAACATCAGAACTCCTAACCAAACACAAATTCAAGATCCATATAATTTGGGGAAAACGAAAAGCAAAGAGATAAAGTCAAATACCATTGCCTCAACTTCTGCTAGCTGACGAACTACAACCCAAAACAATGACATCAGTGCACACGCTCGAACCTCATTTTAACAATTGCACCAAAACTGCAGGTCGTATATCAAAGAAACAATTCAAGATCAATACCGTCACATTCTTCCGATCAATAATCAATGATTAATTTCAAAAACCCTAAACAACGCAATACTCCTTAAAATTCCGAACAATTGCACCAAAACACCAAAACTTCAATTCAAGATCAAAACCGTCACATTCTTCCAATCAATAATCAATAATTAATAGTAAAAAACCTAAATCTTGAAACTCAAAACCCTATCCAATTAACGGAAAAAAAGAATTTTACAAAAAGAAGAGTATAAAGCGAATTTACCTCGGAACGATTCAGATTGGAATGGATTGTTGATCTGGAAATTGGAGTCTGAGAGTGTGAACCGGAGAGTGCGGTGACGCCGACGATCGTTTCTTGTTCAACTTCTTTAATCGAACGGTTTCTGAACTTCAATAACTTGATTGTGCTTCGGCTTGATTTTTTTTTTTTTTGGTTTCTAATTGGGTTCGGGTTTTGACGATTTTACTTGGGCCGGGTATTTATTGCTTTGAAAATGAAGGAAATATATTTATTTTAATAGGATTTTTAATTATTCAGTTTAAGTTTATATTGGATTTTTTTTTGGGTAATGTTAACTTGTGCCCTTGGGGCACATGTTAAGTGATAAATATAGTAAAAAATTATTGGAAATTGTGTTTTAAATTTAATACAAGTTATGTTTTAAATTTAATACAAGTTAAACATTAATGATTTTATTGCTTTTTTCAATATTTATTTTCTATTTGTGGATTTCTTAACATGTGCCCCAAGGGCACAAGTTAACATTACCCTTTTTTTTAAATATTCTATACGTAATTTCAATTTTATACCAGTCACATCAAATAAACATAAAACTACAAAAGAGTTCATTGCTATATTAAGCTAAAAGCGTAAAAACACGAGTAAATAGTTTTAACTAAGTATAATTTTGTAAATAATTAAAGTATTAAAGGCTTAAATATATCATAAATAATAAGTTATCACCTAAATAAAAGTCAATTAATCTAAATAAACTCCTATGTTAGAGAAATCATTGTTCCAACATCAATGAACTAATTAAATGTCAAATATAAAACAACATTTGTCAATCATTTATTAGACAAAATGCTAATGACATGTTTTCTTCGTTTGACTTAATACATAACCAAATATAACAATTATTTTATTATTATATTAACGACCTAAATATTCGTTATGAAATTTCACAATGGAACATCCGGTTGTGAATGTAAGAACATGTGAGAACTCAAAGTCATATTAAAGTTAAAAACAATTTAGGTTTAAATTGTTAGTTGGTTCTTATAAATTAGCGAGTTTTTTTTGTTTTGATCTTTATATCTCACTTTTATGTTCGTTTTATTCCATAAAATTAAAATCCATAAAAAAATCCGCAGGTTTCCTTCGAATTTGGATTTAGAAACTAAAACACAAGAAAAAAATAAAATATAAAGATCAGACAAAAAACTTACAGAACCCAAAATAAAAAATTCGTTAACTTACCTAAATCAAAAATACATTTAAACCAAAAACTTAATATTATTTTAATATATTCCTACAAATTGACAAATAAACTGTGTGCATATGAACCTACCCAAACAATCATAAATTTTTATTTTGCAACCATTAAACCTCGACAATTTAGTTAAACTATCAAAAACGAATCTTATTTTAATATATGAATATTATTTAAAAAACTTAGAATGTCTAGATATTAATTCTTTTTATGAAAATTAGGCTTCCAATTAATTTTGTTTTATAAAATAACGTGTGTAGATTCTAAAAATATCACATTTGTAGTATCAAACTTGTAACCAGCTTTTATCCTACTTTATTTAATGAAAATTTATGTTCTGATGTATATTTTGTAGATAATTTTGGTTACTTTACAATGGATTTAAAATTGTTTAAATATGAGATATATGGAAAAAGGTACAAGTGATTAATTAGAGGTATGTATAAATTCTAAGTTGACACCATCTACTTCACTAAACATAATTTAAAATATGAACTTAGATAACTATAATTTATATTGTAAATCTAGATAATTATAATATAAAAATAATCTTAAAAATATACGAAAATAAGAAAGATAATGATGTTGTGTTGCATGTTCAATCACCTTTAACTTGTGATCAACACCACTACAATTCTTTTTATAAGTTTGTATTTGTAAAATGAAGGTTTCAGATAAGTGAATGACCCTTATGAAAAAAATTCAACAACATTTTTATAAAATTAAAAAACAAAATCTTTTTTATGCGCACTTTTTTACAAAAATAATATGAAAAAATATATATAGCTTTGTTTAATAAAAGGAGATGTTAAATTTCACTTGCTTTTTAAAAAAGTCATGTTGTCGTACCTCAAAAAAAGCACGATTCTTCGCGAATGGTTGTGGAAAACAGAGTCGCCACCGAACTTTATTTATTCCAAAGAGGCAAAAGAGAATATCGAGAAAACCTTTTAGGAAAAGAACATGGTCATCGCAACCAAGTTCTAGGTTCAGGAGTCGGTTACGTGAGGGGAAGGTATTAGCACCCCTCACGTCCATTGTACTCAACGAGAACCTCTTGATTCGATTCGTGAGAAATGTTAGGTCAGATTGTTTGTTTTCTTCTAAAGGAATAAAATGAAAAGGTAAAGTAAAAGGAGTATTTAGATTTCTAAGGGAAAATGGGTGGTTTTAGATTAAGGTGCTCGCTAAGGATTATGGCTCTTGTGCCTACATATTTTTACTTGAAAGAAGTGAAGAATCAGAGTGTCTGTAGTTCGTAGGACTACGGGAGAAAAGAGAGAAGGTTGCTCGCTAGGATATCGCAATCTTATGCCTACGTATTCTCATTGACAAATGAGAAATTAGAGAGTCCGTAGTTCGGGCTACAAGTGTTGGTTTGATTTTATCGAAAGATACTTAGTCACATTCGACAGAAAATATTGCTTTACCCAAATGGGTGAGGAGAGGACGCTTGCATCACTTTGAATGGATTTCCATATCGACGTTCATGGGAAACATGCTACTTCTCTCGACTCAAATAGGTTATGGGCGAAGCAATACTTTGCGTCGTCTCAAGACACCATATCTCGCATTTATGAAAAGGTTTGACGGTTCGCACGGCGGCGAGAAGTTGAATTAATATGTCTTGACGTTTTGTTTGAATGATGATTACTTAAAGCTTAAGAAAGGCTCATCGGGCTCAAGTAATCGAGAGAGTGGGTCAAAGACTTAACTCTCTCTATTTTTCATCTTGATAAGGGGTTGTTTGAGAAAGTGTTTTGAATGAAAGAAGATAGTTAAAGGAATTTAAATCGGATGAAGATTACTTGAGGCTTAAGAAAGACTCCTCAGGCCCAAGTAATTGGGAGAGTGAGTCAAAGGCTTAACTCTCTCTCTCTTTTTCATCTTAGTGATTGAGAAAGTGTTTTGAATGAAAGAAGATAGTTAAAGGAATTTAAATCAGATGAAGATTACTTAAGGCTTAAGAAAGACTCCTCAGGCCCAAGTAATTGGGAGAGTGAGTCAAAGGCTTAACTCTCTCTCTTTTTCATCTTAGTGATTGAGAAAATATATTTGATTTTGAATCGGGTTATGAATCTTTTTAAGAAAATAATTGTTCGAACTTAAGAAAGGCTCCTCGGGCCCAAACAATTCAGGAGAGAAATCGAAGATTCCATTCCAACTCCCTTTTCATCTTTTATTGAAATATAGTTTTAAGTATAATTAAGTTAATTGATTTGAATTTGAGAAAATGCTCGGTGTGGATCGAGGTTTAAATTTGCGTTCGGAAATGTTAATGGTTTGAACCTTATAGTAAGGAGGTCCTAATTGTGAAGGGTAAGGTCGATGGCAAGATAAAAACGCTTGACTTACAAGTGATAATGGTTTGCACCTTAGGGTTTCGATAGATTTAAAATGTTTTTGTGTTTTTTTTTGTTTGGAAATGAGATATTAACAAAGTAATAACAATATGACAAGATGAAGACAATATGAATATGAACAAAGATAATATGATGACAATGACATATAGACAAAAAGATAAGAAAACATTGGACAAAAATTAAAGTTAGTGGTCAATTACTAATCGGATGAAACGGGTCCACTTTAGCGCTAAGCACTCATATCACGATCTATAAGGAAGTTCATGCTATGGGAGGCCGCACAAGAATGATGTTTGTGCTAAAACACGATGGATAAATGATATTATGAATCAATCTCTAAAGAAATCGTGCCACACGACAAGAAAACAACGGATGATCTCGTTATAATCACAAATTTGTGTCGATTAATCAAAGGTAACCTATCACGATCTCAAAGTATAGAAAATGATCTCAATGATCATTTTCTACATATTTGAAGTCATGAAGGTTAAACAACCTCAATCAACCAACATTCGTAATATTAAAGACTTTCATTGATCAAGATTGAAAATAAAATAAAATCGAAGTAAACTCGTAAATAAAAATCAAAGCATAAAGGAAATGATAAACATCAAGAAATAATAAAGCAACATAATAGATTAAGAGAAGTTAATGTTACAAAAATAAGTATTATTAAAAAAAGAAAGGGAGAAAGAAAGAAGAGAAGAGAAGAGAAAAAAAAACAAGTGGGGAGGCGCAAGAGGTACTTAGGGTGTGCAAATAATAACACACATGGGCCCTTGAACCCATTAGTAATAACAAGACAGAGTGTTTTTTTTGCAAAGGGAGTGTGAACAGATAAAAAAAACTCAAGATGCCCAACAACAAACAAGGGCTCGGTTTGACCAAAACTCACACTAGCATCCTAGAAACTCACGCAAGGCAATGATATTTAAACTAAAACTAACAACAGCATCAGCATATTCATTAAAAAAAATTGATCCAAGCTACAACCATGGTACCGTTTTTAAGAGGAATACGCTCAAAAGAGAAAAATAATTCCTCTTCATCATCGCGAGCATCAGATGCAAAAAAAAAAAA